CCCCCCCCCCAATCCTTTTTTGCTCAAGAGATACTGAAGGACCATCCCTGGGCAGATGTGACCTCTGACCCAGTTGTGGAGTCATCAGGATGTCCTGTGGATCATGGCTGGGAAAGGGTATCTGCAATGTGAGTCCGAGTGACCTTGCGTGTTTGCACAGCTTGAGGGGGTGGATGAGGGCCATCCTTTAGGAAGCATCCATAGCAAGGCCAGGACAAATGGCAGACTGGTCCTCATGGCCAGTGGCTGAAGCATTAAAGCATTTGGTGGTGTTTGAGCCAAGCAAGGGCACGGCAGCATGAAGGCAGTGACAGAAGCTCAGCCAGAGCCTAAGCTGGGAGAGATGAAAAGCAGGCGGGGCTGGCTGGGAGCTGGGCTGCAGGGCCTTCTGCCTGCTTCTTCATGGTGTCTTCCCAGCTAGGAAAGCCTTCTCGAGGCCCCTGCCTGTGTGGCCTGGGCCCATTTCCAGGTAGCTGCCCACACTGAGCCCTCACTGCTATTCCTTGGAGGTACAGTGTGGGGGGCCGGCCTCGGCCACATAACCTGGGGAGCAATGGCAGCGGTAGGAGCCCTCGGTGTTCTCGCAGTGACCGTGGGCACAGAGCGCAGCAGGCCCGTTCAAGTCGTCACACTCATTGATATCTAAGAGGAAGGGAAGGAAGAGAGAGCTGTGGGGAACCCAGGTGCCTCTGCTGTTGTGGTCACTAAGCACCAGCCCCTGCCCCGCAGTGGAATCCTACATGTGGCAGCCAGGAGCTGAGGTCATTGCCCCAAAGTAGGCAAGTCAGAGACACAAAGCAGGTGGTAGTGAACCCATCCTGTGCCCCTGGACAGTGACCATGCTCTTTTGTCCCTGCCTTTCTTCTCTCTAGGAACCTCCCTGGAAAGGGCTTTCTGTACACAACAGGAGACCTTCCTTTGGTGCTGTCTCACCACTTGGCCTGGTTCCAGACAGCCCCACTAGGGGGCAGCAGTGTATGTTCCACTCTCAAGTTCAGCCTTGTATTCCTCAGTGAGCGGTGGGCCAGTCTGACCTTTCCACCTGGAGCCATCAGGGCCATCCTGTTCCCTGGGCCACTCACATCACAACTTACCCACGCAGGCCATGTGGGCCATGTCCAGCTGGAAGCCCTCAAAGCAGTCACAGGTGTAGCCCTCCCTCACTCGCACACAGCGGCCGTTCTCACAGCCGTTCAGGATGCCGCATTCCTCTGCCTGAAGCCCTTCGAAGCCGGCCTGGTGCTCTGGTAGGAGGGAGTCAGAAGGAAGCTGAGGCCTTGCACCCAGCCTTGGGAGCCTCACCCTCCACTATGAAGGTTGCTCCTTTTGGAATCCTAAGGTCAGGGTTGGGAGGGTCTAAAACTCTCACAGAGATGCTAAAACAAAAGGCACTACCCTTAAGAGATAATTATGTGTCATTACTTTATGGTGGCGGAGACCTACGGTACTTTAAATGTTAGTTCCGGGAAGGTTGAGACTCCTTGCTCTCATAGTGCCAGGGTTCCCGAGCAGGTGGGTGTCTATATAGTGTTGGTTTTGTGGTTGGTGGTGGTTAAAATCTTTAGATGGTTTTTGTGGGGAGGAGATTGGCAGCAAAAGGGGATTACCCTCACCCAACACGAAGCAAAACTTAGGGATCTGCTTAACCCTCTCCTCTTTAAGCAGGTCCCAACCCCTGAGAAAGACCGTATCCCTGGTCCCCGTGAAGCCTTTGTCTGGTACAGTGGCCTGTGCCTGGGGCAGCTACCACATCCGTTGCACAGGTGCCAGGCCTGACTTCTTCATTAGAATTCAAGTCCTATATGCTGGGGTCCTTGCCACTTACAAACCGGGTCACCACAGTGGGCCTCTAAAGTGATTAGAAATCCTGAATGCACATTTCAGGTCATGAGTGTGAGCCTGTAGACCAGGTTATTCTGCATACCGTGGGTGGTATGGAGGGAGAGAGACGGACCGGAGTGTACCTGCTTTCTCTTGCTCTCTCAACCCCCACAGGGAAGTTTTTGAGGTTGGGATGGTGTCCGGTCCTGTACCTCTTTGGCTCATCAGAGTTGTTTGGGTCTGACCCAGGCATTTGGAGTTGTCCCTTGAGTGACCTGTGAGAGGGCTGGCTGGGTCTTTTCCCTCCCCGGGCCTCACCCCGCTGGCAGCGATTAGTAGGTAGAGGAGATGGCAGTGAAACCATTTTGGTGCCCGCCGCTTCCCCATTTTTGCAGCAACACAGACCTGGGTGGCTGGCCACGTAGTGGGGCTGGAGTTCTGAGGGCTGCAGGGGGGGCTCAAGAACTGGTAGGTGGTCCCCTGGGCGGCTGGCTGTGTTGGGGAAGGGTGGCTCTGGGACGGTGTCCTCGGGACCCAGGTAGTTGTAGAAGGGGGCCCCGTCTGGGCCGTAGAGGCTGTATTGCAGGTCCTCGGGCCCGGGGCCGTACTCATAGCCTGGCCGGAAGTGGACTCCAGCCTCCCGCTCGGCTTCGATCCGGGCCACGTTGCACAGCTGAGCGTAGACCTCTGTCAGGGAGGAGGGAGAGAGGATGCTGCCAGGCTCTTGATAGCTAAAGCCTGGAGTGTGGTTCCCAGGCTCATTTCCCCGGGGAGAGGGAGCATGCTGGGACTGGTGTCCTCTGGGAGTTCCTGACAGTGCTCTTCTCGTCACCCCAGCCCCTCCCCCACTCTGTCCCCAGACAATAGAGATGGAAGATGGCCACACTCTGATTGCTCTACTCCTAAATCCCTCCTTCCCAGGTGAGGGCATTTCCTTCCCTGGAGCCCCTCCCCCCCCAGGCAGGCACGGGTCACCCTTCTCACCAGAGCTCCTGGGGGGGCACAGGGCACACTGCTGGCTCCAGGCCTCGCCATCCTGACAGCAGCATTCTGTGTAGGTGGTGCGGCGTCCGTGCAGGGGTTGGCTGCACACATAATTGGTGACTCTTTTCCAGCAGATGTCCATGTGGATGTCGTGGTCAGGCAGGTCCTCTGGTGGCACAGCGCACAGGGGCACGTGATCCCTCCCGGCCCAGATTCAGTCCCCCCACCGCTGCCCCGCCACTCCAGGCCTACTGACCCGTGCCGCCGGTGCTGTTCACGCAGCGCTGCTGGCCGAGGTCCAGGGTGAGCGGGGGGCTGCAGAAGCAGTGGAAAGAGCCTTCAGTGTTCACACACTCACCGTTCTCGCAGACCATGTCCTGGCACTCGTCATGATCTGTGGTGGCAGAAAGACGGAAGGGGGATGTGGGGGGCAGTACCAAGGCGGCTTGCCCACGGACCGCCTTCGTGGAAGGGGGTTTTCTTGTAACTGACAATGAAGAGGTGGCACCCTGCTTCCCCCTGCCCCCCCCTCCCGACCCAGTCCAGTCTGGGGAGGGGGGGGCCCTCCCCAGGGATGCCTTTCCAACAGGTGTCCAGCTCCCCTCACCTCAGACCTGTCTGCTGCAGTGGGAGCTCCCAGCAAGAATGGGGCTGGCTGGTGGGGGCTGGGAGAGCATTCGGCTGTGGGCGCGGGGGTGGGGAGGGGTGGTGTGTGTCCTCACCCTCACACTTCCTGTGGACGGTGTTGTAGTGGTAGCCGGGATGGCACAGGCAGATGTAGCCAGGCACCGTGTTGAGGCACCGGCCGTTCTGGCAGAGCCCAGGCCCGAACATCACACACTCGTCCGCATCTGCGGGAGGGCGGAGCCGAGGTGAGAAGCAGTACGAAGCAGAACGTGATACTAAGGGCTCCAAAGCCAGACCTGCTGGGTTTGGGTCCTGGCGCTGCCACTTGCCAGTCAGGTGACTTTGGGCAACTTGTTCAGGTCTCCTTGCCTCAGTTTCCTACCTAAAAATATGTGGATGCTATTACTCAATCTCTCACAATTGTTACGAAGATTAAGAGGTTAATATATGTAGGTGCTTCAATAGCACTTGGCATGTAGCAAGCACTTAAGGAAAGCTGCTTCTGTTTCTGTGATTTCCTTCTCTGGCTTCAGGATTAGGATGCGGAAGGGCTCATGCCTGAACTACCCACTTTGAGTGTCGGTTCCCCCAAAGTTTCTGGCTTTCTAAGTGAGGCCAGGGAGATAAGCAACTGCCTCGGTATAGCAGTACTTCCCACTCTGTCCCTATGCCCCAGGACTGGGTTAGTCAAGGCGTCATAGTTTATTCCAGAGGGTTCGGCCTCGGAGGAGCAGAGGGAGCTCAGGTCAGAACTTCAGCTACACATCCGTAGGTAGTCAGCCCCAGGATGGGAACCAGGGGAGTCACCTGGGAGGCTGGGGCTTCATGCAGAGCTTCCCTGGGGACCCTCCCGGAGGACCAGGCCGGGCCCGCTCAGGTGAGTGGAGTCTGGGGAGGAGGGTCTCTAGGGAGGTTACCTGTGTACGTGGTCTGTCCAAACATCCAGGCTCCGTCCACAGGGATGTAGCCTTTACCACTAGGGCAGATCTCGCTGAATTCCACTGTGCAAGGAGGCATCCAAGCTTAGAGACAGAAGGGCTCTGCCCCCATCTTCTCTCCCCTTCTTTCAGGGTCACCCTACAGAGCTGACACTGAGGATTTGGGACCCTTGGGGGCCTTACCTGAGTCCTCAGCTGGGCAGAGGTCACAGGCGTCTCCCCAGCTGGCACCCTGAGTGCAGCAGCACTCGGCCTGTGTGGTGTTCCGGCCCAGAAGGCTGGAGCAGGGCAGCTGGTCATTCTGCCCAGAGTAGCACTCCATGCGGATGGGGCCCGGGGGGTGGTCCCCTGGCGGGGCCTCAGGAATACTCTGACCTGTGTGTGAGGGATGCCCTTTATTACTGTCTGTCCGTGGCTCTCTAGGGCACCCTAGGCTTTGAATTTATTTTCAAAATTTTATGTTTATATAATAGCACTTCCCAGTGTACAACATGCTTTTACCTGTATTATCGTGCTTGATGCTTTCAACAACTGTATATTGTCACCTCCCTCTCACGGATGAGGCAGTTAAGGTTTAGAAAAACTAGGTGACTTACCACAGCCACCAGCTGTTAAGTGGCCCAGACCCCTGTTCTTCTGCTATCCCCTGCTATCCCCCTGCTATCCCCCACTATAGGGGGTGCCCCCGGTCCTTGGCATAACCATAGAGGCAGCCCTCCCCCATTCCTCAGCTCACACTATACCCCAGCCCCTCCCACCTTCCCTGTTCCAGGTCCTGTTTTCTTTTTTTTTTCAGTAATT